ATGTGTACTCCTGCATGTGAACTGGCCTTGTGGCCTTGAACTTGTGCTCGGATTGTGTGGTGACGTTGTGATCCACCCTGAGCTTGCTTTGCTTTGCTTTACTTGACTGGTCTTGTGACCCCTAGGTCTCCCCCACTTCGCCTATGGGGGTGTGTCAAACATTATATATGTTGTTGTAGTTATTTATGCTACAGTGGGTTATCTTATAAGGGGTACACATTTCTAGGTTTTCATACTTGTACTCATTTCACTGTTAGTTCATTCATTCTTGTTCAACACACCCACCCCCCTCACTTGCTCCCTCCCCCTTTGCACACCCCTCGCTCTCGCCCCTGCGCCCCTAGGAGATCCTCCCACGCCACATGCACTCCCTCCAGCCAATCCGCCAATCCAGCTAGATTTCTCGCGTCAAACACGTCACTGTTTTTCTCGCCAAACTAGAAAGAAGAAAAAAATCAACCCTTATTTCAATTCGCCAACCCTGACAGCCCAGACTTACGATTTCGTGAACCCTGAACATCGCAAGAAGGCTCAGGCTTGGGGTTTTGCGGAAAATGTGCCTTCAGGGTAAATCTCTTTCTGGGGGATTGAAAACAGGGTACCCATATTTGAATCTTCAGCCCTGGCGACAGCATTGCTGTGGTGTCGCCCCAGCAATTCCAGTGCTAACACTCGTGAGGCTGAACTGGGGTGCACTGTGCACACCAAACTCTTGTGCGACTCCACTGAGGTAGTACATTCAAATCCTAAATGAACAAATTGTCTTATTCTTGGTCGTTTGTGAGACTTCACTTTAAGACAACAAAACCGAAGTGCTGTAATGTTAGGAAACATAAACATATTTTATGCCAATTGTCAGTGGAAAAAAATTCAAATAAATAAATACAATAGATATACCCATGTCCTATACCTTGCTATCGTCCATCTGTAAGGCTTCTTCTAAGTCGTCCACGTAAGGCTTTTATGGGGAAAGCGAGGGTGAAGAAAGCAGAGGCACGAGCAGGAAGGGAATGAGAAAAAGGGCATCGCATTGGATGCAGCTGTTGGTGCAGGGCATATGGCGGGGGGAAGCAAGGCATATGGCGGAGGGAAGCAGGGCATATGGCGGGGGGAAGCAGGGCAGGCATATGGCGGGGGGAGGCAGGGCATATGGTGGGGGGAAGCAGGGCATATGGCGGGGGGAAGCAGGGCATATGGCGGGGGGAAGGAGGGCATATGGCGATGGGAAGGCGGCATTAATGACAGGAGTGGAGGGGGAACCACGAACAACCCAAACGACGGGGAGAGGAGGTGAGGTCGACGGGGAAAGGAGGTTAGGGCGACGGGGAGAGGAAGTGAAGGCGAAGAGGAGGGGAGAGGAAGTGAGGGCGATTGGGAGGGGTAGTGAGGGAAGCATGTCCCTTCCCAACTGTCCCTACCCCACTGACAATCCCCCATCTGAACCCCCTCTTCTGTCCCTCCCAATAAATGAGGCCCGAAGAGGGAGAGAGGGAGAGAGCGAGAATAGGATTGAGCAAGAGAGGGAGGAAGATATAGAGCGGGAGAGGGCGGGACAGTCAGAGAATGGGAGAGGGAGATATGGAGAGAGCGTGGAAGAGAGTGAGGAAAAGAGAAATGACGAGGGGGAGAGACGAGAGGGGAAGAGCGCATGACGAGGGGAGAAACATGTGACGAGGAGAAGCGCGCGTGACGAGGGCCACCCCCCTCTGTCCCTCCCCCTCTGTCCCTCCCACTGAGGGCGTTCTGTGGAGGAAGGCGGGTGTATGGTGGGGGAGATGGAGGCGGGTATGTGGGGAGGCGAGGGCGACGGGGAGAAGCGAGGGTGTTATGGCGACGAGGGAAATGAGGACGTTGAGGAGAAGAGAGAGAGAGATGAGAAGAAGCTTGGGTGACTAGCGGAGAGAATGAGGGAAAGCGCCGTTGACGAGGGGAAGCGCGGGTGACGGGGAAGCGAGAGCGACGACGGGAAGCGCGGGTGACGGGGAAGCGAGAGCGACGACGGGAAGCGCGGGCGACAACAAGAGGCGAGGGCGGCGAGGGTCGGCGAGGGTGATGAGGGAAAGCGCGGGCGACAAGGAAAGCGGTATGATGTGGGAAAGAGCGGCCGACGAGGGGGAACATACGCAAGTAACGGCAGTGTGCGTCACCTGAACCTTAAACGGTACGATCGTGACACGAGGCTTATTCGCAACAAGTGCAACGCGAGATTGAATGTGTTAAGATAAGGAGCTTAGGGTTTAGGACTTAGGCGTAGGATGGTATCGAGAGGGAGAGAAGATTGGCCAAAGAGAGGTTTCATTATGAGATTGGGAGTACAAATAGGAAGAAGGGGAAGGGGAAAGGGTACACCACCAGCAGTTGGTATCTAATAACTAATCTAGTACACTAGCTAACTGTAGGCAGTTATAAGGTATGCAAATACAATTCAACACACCCCCGTAACTGTCTACGGTTTCAGGTAGTGGTGTCTGGCACCAGGTCGCCTGTAGAGCGGTTGCTGTAGCTGGGATAGGCACAGAAACAGCGGTGGCTGAGCGGCAGCACCTGTGAACGCCAGAACGGAGGAGGGCGCGGAGAGCGCGGAGGAGGGCTGGGATAGCCGGAGGGCGAAGGATGCTGGTCGCTTGCCATCTACGAGCAAACACAACTGTTGGTGAGGAGGAGGAAGCTGGTGGTGGTGCACAGGTGAAGGTAGGAGAGATGCAGTAAGCGCACAGAGTGATGCGGTAAGTGTATGCAAGTGTGCGGGAAGCGCACGAAGGTGTGCGGTGAGTGTACGCAGGTGTGCGGTAAGTGCACGCAGGTGTGCGGTGAGTGCACGCGGTGTGTGGTGAGTGTACGCAGGTGTGTGGTGAGTGTACGCAGGTATGCGGTGAGTGCACGCGGTGTGTGGTGAGTGTACGCAGGTGTGCGGGAAGCGCACGCAGGTGTGCGGTGGTGCACAGGAGGAGAGCCGAGGAGAAGCGGCTGGAGGAGCAAACAAGCGGAGGAGGAGGCGGCTGGAGGAGAGGAGAGAGGAGAGGAGGAGATGCGGCTGGAGGAGAAGAGGAGAGGAGAGGAGAGGAGAGGAGAAGAGGAGGAGAGGAGAGGAGAGGAGAGGAGAGGAGAGGAGAGGAGAGGAGGTGGCTGGCGCGGTAGAAGCTTTCCCGCCACCCCCTCATTCCCCTCCCCCCCATGCGCTGGCGATGGCGGAAGTGCTGGCGCTGGGCTCTGGCGTCGCGCTGGCGCTGGCGCCCGCCGTTGGCGCTGGCGCTAGCGCCCGCCGTCGGCGCTGGCGCTTGCGACCGCCGTTGGCGCTGGCGCTGGCGCCCGCCGTCGCCTCGCTGGCACGCTCGCCGCTGGCAGAGCGCGACGGGGCAGGCGAAAGGGGGGCAGCGCGACGGGTGCTGCAAAAGCAGCGGAGTTCGAGCCAGCAGTGGATTTCGCGCTGCTAGCAGTAGCAGCCATGCCAACTGCACAATAAGTCGCCATGGCAGATCGCGGATTTGGTGGGCCCATGAAAACGAGGTCCTAGGAGGGACCATGCTCTCATACCATGTTAAGATAAGGAGCTTAGGGTTTAGGACTTAGGCGTAGGATGGTATCGAGAGGGAGAGAAGATTGGCCAAAGAGAGGTTTCATTATGAGATTGGGAGTACAAATAGGAAGAAGGGGAAGGGGAAAGGGTACGCCACCAGCAGTTGGTATCTAATAACTAATCTAGTACACTAGCTAACTGTAGGCAGTTATAAGGTATGCAAATACAATTCAACAGAATGCACGGCGCGTGTAGCGCGAAGATCATTCACTAACGTAAGTGCCGCGGGTGAATGTGTTGTTACTCGAGACTGCCGACGTGAGGGGGAGATCGGAGCGTGTGGTGACAAAGATGGTTGAGGTGGATACCTACTTTATATTTCCCACAAAAAAAAAACCCTTTCAACGACTCGCTTTTGCCTACAGGAGCTACTTTTTGCCTGGAGCCTCCTAGTCTATGAGTACTACTTGGTGTCCAAGTTATTTGAGTGGTGGACAAGTGCATATGGTTGGCGATCATCGCGTCAGTTCTGTTTTTGGGCACTCGGGTTCCGTTGTCGCAGGACGATTGCCTGGGGTCGCGAGAGTTTCTTCAAAACAAGTAGGGTAACCCTGTTTTGGCGATTTCAAGTTCAAGAATCTTGAACTTGAAAATTACCATGCTGTACTCGGGCTTTAAGGCCCGGGGTCAGCATGTGTGGCTCTGGCGAGGATTATGTTCCTCCGCGAGCACGTTTGCATCTCGCTCGCACCAAACCAGCGATACCCACTGACCCTGTGCGAAAATTGAGTCGCATAAACAGATACATTATCCAATCAGAAGCTTTCACACTCTTACGAAGAGCACAGTAAGTGTGGCCGAAGTCTCCACCTCACCACTGACTCAATTCGCCTCTACTAACGGAGAGTAGTAAAACATCGCCGCACGAGCTACTAAGAACACCCACTCAGACTCAAATCGGTAAATCGATGCGACAAAGGAAACATGTTCGACACGAGGCTCACCTCAGAATACTGGCGACGCGGTTATCCCAGGAGCTGTCAACAACACAGCGGAGGGGTGTGTAGGAAAGTGCAAGCTTAAAGCCGTGGCCCAACTATCAGCTTCAACTTCAGGGTATTATAGCTTGAAACTTGGTAGTCCCAGGCAGTTCAGTGGCGAGAGGTTTGTCTTGTGCGAGATTGCATTTTTTTCGTCCAATAAGGGTCCCGTTACGCACACTCCATATTTGTCCTGTAACTGTTCCTAAGAAGTTGCACCCCGCCGACATCCGGTATGGGAAACGCGCTTGTTGAGGAAGCATTGGAGAGTTGAGGAAATGAGCGCCGCGCTCGCACACTACTATACACCAGATACGGTATGTCCATAAACAGATTGGTGAATTCATGAGCAACAGCCGAGCACGCCTACAGCAATAATGCTACAGCTACAGTAACACCAGCTAATAAAAATACACAACACTGGTAACACTACAGCAAGAGTGTCACCAGAAGGGGCACCAGCCGATGTAGCTCTGGCAGAGATTCTCATGCGAGGTGGCCTGCACCACCAGCCGCTGAACCTGCTCCTTCACACTCACCCCCGGCTCGCTCTCCCGCCCCTCCGCTATCACCCCACCACCACTCCCCATCGCCGCAGCAGCCATGGCCGACGTGGTCCGCTCCAAGCTGCGCCCACTGTCTCCCAGCAAGCTATTGCCGCTGCCCGTGCGAGGGGACTCCGGCACGGCTCCCGGGAGAGAAGCGGCCGGGGCGGCAGAGGCAGCGAGAGGGGGGAAGTCGCGACCCGTGAGCTTGTTGCTCATGCGGGTCATCACCGCCACTGCGCGCTCATTCAGCACCTCCTGGGCGTCATCCAGCTGCCCCAGCGCCTGCAGAATCTCCCGCTCCCGCGCGCCCCGCTGCGGCGGCGGCGACTGCACCGCCCCGCCGCCTCCCCCGCCCGCTGCCCCGCCACCACCCGCACCTCCTCCCCCTGCCCCGGCAGCAGCAGTGGTGCTGGCGGCGGCGGCGGCAGCGGCGCCGGTGCGATTGATAAGGCGCCAGTTGATGAGGGGATCGTACATGAAGGCCTCCATCATGGCGAGCACGGAGTCCTTGTGCTGCCGCAGCACTGCCATCACGGCCTCACAAGTGAACCGGAACGTGCCCTCGATGCCGCTCACCTCCATCGCCTTCACCAGCATGCGCGTCAGCCGGAACGGGAACTTCTCGGGAAACTTCTCGCGGTGCATGGACGACTCGAAGCAATCACCGAAATCAATGTGGATAATCTTCCCCGAGTAGCGATCCAACATGAGGTTGCTCGGGTGGCGGTCTCCCAGCCCGAGGATATACCCCACCATGCTCATCACGGCGAGGCTCCGTGTGTAGTTGCACCGGCGATCCAGCCACACCTCAGCGCTGCGGCTCTTGAGCCACAGCACCCGCGCCAGGTCGTTCCCTGGCGTGCTGTCCAGCGCGTGTTCGAACGCTTCCACTTTCCCGATGACAGTGAGGTGGTCGTAGTCTGGGGCGAAGCTCAGGATGAGGCGCCTCTCGAGGTTCACTGCGATGTTGTGTGCCTCGCGGTACTCCTGAATCAGCTGGTGCATCGTGTCGCAATGTGGTAACCACCCGATGAGACCAATGTTGGGCGACAGCGGCACCACTGCGTACCGTTCGATGGAGAGGTCCTTGTCAGCTGCTGACCTGGCGCCGGCCAGGAGCGTGTTGACCAGCCCAAACAGCTGCATCACGCGCTCATCCAGCCGTAGATCCTCGTGGCCCTTCAGCAGGAACACGTACTCCCGGCCGTCGGATCCCAAGATCGAGATCTTCCGTGGCCGCTGCTTGGACGTGATCACCAGCAGCTGCGGCGCAAACCCGGCGATCGTCACTGTCGGCCGGCCGGCTCGGTACGTGCCGGGGACAGCGAGAGCGAGGTCGCGGGCGTTGACCAGCGCAGGCGCCACCTGGAGGAGCTCGAGAGTGGTGAGCGCGGGGAGCTGCTTGTTGATGCGCTTGAACACGTGGTAGTACAGGTCCCACGCCTGTGTCAGCTCCGCCTCTCTCCCCGTCCGCCTGTAGTTGGCGCAGCACTCCGCCGCCTCCGCCAACTCCCGCCCGTACGCTTCCACGAAGGCAGCTTCCGTGCTGGTTTCCGGGCCGGCGGTTTCGAGCAGCGCGTGCAGCGGAGCGAGCACGGCCAGCATGCCGTCCACATTGCGCTCTCCGAAGTACAGCCGCGAGGCCTCCTCCAACGCCTCGTGCCACATCTCGTGCCACAGGATGGCCACTCGGATCAGCTCCACAGACACCAGCTGTGCTGCCTCCACCAGAGCGGCAGAGTGCGAGCGGATGTTGTCCAGGACTGCTTGTGCGGCGGCGCAGCGCGAGAGCGACATGGACTTGCAGGCGACGAGCAGCGGGAACATGAGCGTCTGCGGGTGATGCCGCCCGACGCGGATGAGCAATGATTGCACGAGGGAGCGGACGGCGGGCACGTTGTTGTGGATGCGAGCGATGATCTGAGGGATGACGTGCAGCCACGTGTCGATGTTCACGTGCGTGAACCCCTCCTGTAGCGCCGTTTGCACGTCGGCTGTAGCGCCGTACCGGAACCAGAGAGTCAGCAGCCGCAGAATATCCTGCAGGCTGTCCCCCGCGCCCTTCCCCGATCCTAGCCCCTTCGCCACCCCCCCTCCCCCGCCCGCCCCCATCCCCTTTCCATCACCTGCACCACCTGTTCCCCCTACCCCCACACCAGCAGCAGCAAACACCGCTCGCCCGCCTGCCTGGCTCGCCGTCCCGCCTGCCGTGGCCAGCGCAATGGACCGGAAGAACCCCGCAATGGCGGCAACGAGGTGGTTCTGAGCGGCGTGTGCGTTGCCCCTCTGCGTGAAATGCGTCATGGCTGCCGTGTTGAACAGCGCCCAGCGATGCCACGCCTTCCCCCACTCTGGCGCCAGCTCTGTTGCCGCCCGCAGGGACGTGCCGATCTCGGCGACGGAGGAGTCGGAGAGGGTGGGGTGGAGCGACCACTGCCACGTGCCCAGCTTCAGGTACACCCGCGAGAGAAGGGGCGCCCCGTGCGCCATGCCGCTGCTGCTGCCCTCCCCTGTGCCTCCTGCTGCTGCTCCAGCCCATGCTGCTCCTGCTGACGGTGCTGCGAGGGAGGAGGAGGAGGGGAGCCCTGGGATAGCAGAGGGGGGAGGGGGTGAGTGGCCGGTGTGTGGGAGCGAGGTCATGCCGGGCAGAGGAGACACCGGCCGCGCCCCCCCCAAGCTTGACGCCGAAGCCATCCCGAGCCCCAGGGCGGCGGTGCCAGGTGGCGCGCCGTGAGTGGCTGCGAGCGCGGCAGCGAGATCCTGCAGGCAGCGGAAGGCGTTGCGGCGGTTGACGTCGGAGGCGAGCGCCCAGGCGTACTTGAGATAGCCCAGCACCACGTGTGGCATGGCTGGGATGAGTAGAGGGGGAGTGGATGAGGGCTGGTATGCGAGGGAGGATGAGGTGGGAAATGGGAGGGAGGAGGAGGTAGGGAAGGCGAGGGAGGGTGGTATGTTTGCCACGGCTGCTGCCGCGGCTGTTAGCATGTCGTTGGTGGTGCTGGTGGTGGTGCCGGCGCTGCTGGTGCCCATGCCTCCTCCCAGACTCACACTGCCCAACCCGCTTCCCCCCAGCACTCCTCCTCCCGCGCCCGCCCCGCCCCGCAACCCCACCGAAGGCAGCCGCAGCAGCGGCACTGCCCCAGCCGCCCCCGCACCGGCCACCACCGCCAGTCCGCCGCCCGGAGTGCCAATGCTGGTAACCGCACCGCCCTCCCCCTCGTGAACATCCAGCCCGAGCATCCTGGCCCCGGCAGGGTCGTGCTGCAGCAGCCTCAGGAGGGTGGCTCGGGCCTGACTCACGCGCCCGCTCTTGCGGCAGAGAGAGGCGAATTTGAGCCACGTGTGGGCGTCCTCGTGCATGGGTAGGACGAGGGATCGCACGGCTAGCAGCGCCTGCCACACGTCCACGTTGCGCTGCGCACCCTTGATCCTCTCCCGCCACATCTGCCGGATCAGAGCCTTCCTCGCCTCAACCTCCCCCGCGCCCATGTGCCCCTCCTCCCCTCCAAATCCGATTACCCCACCTCCGTCCATCCCTCCAAAACCCCCTCCCACGCCCCCACCAGCTGCTCCCCCCCCTGCATCTGCCCCCAGCAAGCAGTAGTCTATAACTTCCTCAAGTTCAGACAGCTGCTGCACCCTCACCACGTCCCCGTACGCCCTCTCATAACTCTCCAGTACCAGCGCTGCCAGCTCCGTCGCCAGAAGCTTCCGCGCTCTTTCCACGAACTCCCTCGCCTCCCCGAACGCCCCGTGCCGCACCGCCAGCACGCCGCGGAAAAACGCCCCGTCGCTGCGCCCCGAACCTGACCCCACCCCCGAACCTCCCGCCAAGCTATGGTGCTGCTGCATCGGCAGAACCGCGCCGAACCTCCCGCCACCGCCGCCCATCCCGCCAAACCCACCCATGGACGCCCCACCGGCATCATCCCCCCCATCAGGCAGCACGGAGACATACTCCGCCATGTCATCCCACCGCCCCATGTTCCACGCTGCTCCCGCCCCCAGCGGCGCCATCTGCACGCGCGCGGCGGGCTCAGCGGGCGGCCAGGCGTCGTGGCAGAGCGCAGAGAGCTCCTCCCACCGCGCCAGCGCGCCCAGACACCGCATGCGGCCCAGCGTGGCGTCTAGCAGCGCCGCTGACGCCGCTGATGCTGCTGACGCCGACACCGGCATGGATGGGTGCATGCCGGGGTGCATGCCCCCGGGAGCAGCGCCGGGCCCGCCAGAGAGAAGCATCCCCGTCTGCCCCATGACGCCTCCCGCTGCCGCTCCGCCTCCCCCGACCCCGCCCCCCATGGCCGCCACAGCAGCGGCCGCCCGGCGCTCATAAGCGGCGAGCGCGTCGTGCCAGCGCTGCAGCTTCTCATACCACGGCTCCTTGAGCTGCACGGCCAGGTGCCGCTGCGCGTACACGAGCATGCCCACCGCCGCCTCGTGCTGCTGCAGCTGATTGTTGATGTGAATCAGCGCTTCAACCGTCGCCGCCGGGTCGACCTCAAACTCCATCTCCTTGTAGTGCAGCGCCTTGGCGAATGCGTGGCACTTCTCCGCTAAGGCGCCGAGGGTGCGGATGTCGACGGGGAGCGGGCACTCGTTCTGCTCCATGAACTCCGCCAGGTTGAGCAGCGTTGCGAGGATCTCCGGGGGGATGTTGGGCGAGGCGAAGGCGGCTTCGAGGGAGTGCACGAGCTGGTCGCGGCTGGCGTCGTTCAGCTCCTGCCAGCAGCTCACGAACCCCACCGCGAACAGCTCCCGTGCCACGTGCGGTTGGAGGGGCGCGAGCGTGGCGCACGTGCGCAGGGCGGGGGAAGGCGACTCTTTGAGGAGTTCTACAGAGAAGTGGCGCATCCACTCCGCCCAGTCCTCCCGCGTGCTGCGCTGAGACGACTCCCATGCCTTCCTCAGCTGCCCCTCGTTCACCCGTAAGGTGCCTGAAGCTGATAAACCCAAGTTGGTTCCACCGCTGCTGCTGCTGTTGCCGCCGCCGCCACCGCCGCCGCCCCTGGAGGTGCCGCCGGGGCCGCCAGCGCTGCCGACGGCGTCGAGGGACGACCCCATGCCGTCGAAGTCGAAGCCCCAGTCCTCATCGAACCCAACCGTGGCATTTAGTGGCCCTCCCCCGCCGCCACCAGCACCACCGCCAGCGCCGCCAGCAGCCGCAGCGCCTGTGCCGCCCGCGCCCCTGCCTCCGCCCCCCGCTCCTCCTCCCGCCCCCTGCCCGCCCGCGCCTCCCCCTCCTCCCCCCTGCGTCCCCCCCCCTCCCCCAGCCGCTCCCCCCTGGCCTACGAGATTATCGGAGCTCCCCCAGGTGCTCCCCCCGGCGAAGGAGGCGGAGGAGGGAACACGGGGGAGGGAGGAGTGGGCGGCGGGGGGGAGGTTGAGCAGCAGCGAGGGGTCGCGGCGTTGCAGGCACGCTGCTATGGCGTCGAATCGCGCGCTGGAGAGGCGGTGGCGGGAGAGGAGGCGGCGGATGGTGGGGATGAATGGGGCGAAGTCGGGTCCCTGGGGGGAGGGATTGTGTGGGGAGGGGGAATGGGGCGCATTGGGGAATTGGGTAGGAGAAATGGGGGGGAAGATGGAGAGAAGCGTGTGGATGGGATGGGAGCGTGGCGAGAGGCAGGAGATGCGATTGGAAGCAAGTGGGGAAAGTGTCACATGACAGCGAAACAGAGGGAGCATATAGTCCCACATCAAGTGCACGCACTGCCAACCCACCCGCCTGCTACATCCCCACCCAACTTCCAGCAAGCAGCAAGCAGCAAGCAGCAAGCAGCAAGCAGCAGGGAACTGACCTGGGCGAGAGCGAGGTCACAGATGGCGTCAGCGGCGTCCCTGCGGAGCTCCTCGCTGGGCCCGTCCAGCACGCGCGCCAGCGGATGCAGGATGGCCGCCGCATGGTCCGCCACGTGCAAGGAGGGCAGCAGGCGTGTGAGCGTGCGCACGGCAGCGCGCTGGATGGGCAGCGGCACGTCGGACACGCCGGGCTTGAAGAGGCGCACCACGGCGGGCAGCAGCAGGTGCATGTGCGGCTCCATGTCGCCGCCCAGCATGCTGCCGCCCAGCACCTCAAACGCGTGCAGCACGGGCGGCACGCGCTTGTAGTCGCCGCTGCGCTCCGCGTCCGCCACGACCGCCACGCACCGCGGGAGCAAGTCCGGGAGGCACGCCTTGAAGTCCTCGGGGAGGGCGCGGGCGAGTTGCTCCACTAGGTTGAGCACGGGGGAGGGTGCGGGCGGGCGGGGGAAGACGGAGAGCAGCAGCGGGTGCCAGAAGTCGTGGATCAGGGCGGTGATCTCCGGCAGGTACTTGCGCATGTGCTGCCGAACGATGCCGACCAGCTGCGCCAGCTGCCAGAAGAGAAACTCCCTGAGGCTCTCGTCACACGCGCGCATGACATTGAACAACTCCGGGAGCACTCTTGGGAGGAAGGGCACGCAGGCGAGCCCCATGGTGCGGAAGATGAACATGAGCGAGCTGACGACGCGCAGGTGGTAGGCTGCGAGGGCGCCGTCGCGCAGGATGCGGAGGAGAGCGGAGATGGCCACTGTGGAGTAGTACTCGTCTGTTAGGCCTCCCGCTGACGGCACGTCTGTCAGTGGGTCGTCGCCGCCCATGCCACCCATGCGGTCGAAGCCCTGGAGCACGCGCGGTGGCTGCAATGGTCCCACTGCCCCGCCTGCCGCCCCAGCTGCGCCCCCTGCTCCGCCTCCCGCCGCCCCGCCCCTCCCACCCCCTCCCCCCCGCCCCTCCTCCTCCCGCCGCTCCCCCTGCTCCCGCTCCCCCGCCCCCCCCGCCTCCCCCTGCTGCTCCGCCACCCCCACCCGCGCCTCCACCCCCTCCTGCGGAGTCCCCCCGGGCGTCCACGCCCCCCTGGGCGGCCATGGCTGGCGGCAGCAGCAGCAGCTGGTTGCGCTTGTTGACGTGCGGGTCCAAGGCGCCCAGAATGCCCAGCACCTGCAGCACCGACCGCCGCATCGACCACGCCAGCTGCCCGTTCAGCATCGACAGAAGTAACCCCAAAAGTTGGGGGTAGTGGCGGTACGGCGCGACGACACAACCCGTGCTCTCCACAACCTGCCCCAGCGTCACCACCGCCACCTCCCTCCTTTCTCCCGGTCCCGGCCCCGTGGTATCATGCAAGGAGTCCACTATGAGAGGCATGAGGTCGGGCACGTAGGGCGTGAGCGCACTCCCCGCCACCTTCGCCAGCTCACCTACCGTTGCCAGCATTGACGCCACCACCCCACTCGTCCCACCGCCACCCACCGTACCCACGGCGGCCGCATGCGCGGCCGAGACAGCCTTGAGTCGCGCCACGAACACCTTGAGGATGGGCGCGATGTAGGGAGCCACGAGCGGCGTGCACGAGTGGATGAGGCAGCGCAGCAGCCGCGCGCCGTCCTCCCGCAGCCGGCTGTCCCCGCTGTGCTCCACGTCCCCCAGCAGCCGCACCAGATGCCGCCGCAGCGCCGGCAGCACGTACGCCGGGTTCCGGGCGGCGAGCCGCCCGGCGAGGAGAACGGCCTGCTCTCGCACGTCGTAGGTCTCGTCGTTTAGTGCGATGAAGAGCGCGCGGAGGCAGTCGGGTTGCGCCAGGAAGGAGTCCAGTGCGGTGGAGGCCGGTGCGGAGAGGCACGCGAGGACGGCCTTGCGCACGCCAGCGTCCACGTCAGCAACAGAGGAGACCAATAGGCGCTCCAGCATGTCCTCCACAATGCATCGCCGCTTCTTCCGCATGCCCGGCTGTAGCAGCAGCTGCTGCGCGATTCGCTGCACTTTGAGTGCCGCAGCACTGCTGCTGCCCCTCCCGCTGCCGCCCCCCACGCTGCCGGAAACAACCCCTGCCGCCCGCGCAGCTCCTCCCCCACCGCCCGCAGCGCCAGAGGCTGGGCCCGCGCCACCAGGTTCTGCCTGGGACGCCGGGGAGGGTGCGGGGGAGGGGGAGGGGGGCGCGGAGAGGGCGGAGGCGGTGTGGGCGAGGACGTGCGCGCAGCACACAGCAGCCTCCCTCCTGGTCGCCACGTCATCATCCTCCAGGTACCTCGCCACGTGTACACGCGTCAGCTCCAGCAGGTCGTGTCCTGATAGGTCAAACGAGTACAGCGTGCACAGCGCCAGCTGCGTCACTCCCGCCATTGATAGTTCCCCCGCCACGCTTCCCCCCGCTCCGCCGCCCGCGCTGCTCCCCGCTCCGCCGCCCCCCCCGCCTGTCAGCGCGCCGCTCGCCAGGCTGCTCAGGCTGGCGCTTCCGCCGAGCGTCAGCGAGCCCCCGGATCCGCTTCCGCCTCCACCTGCGCCCGCGGGCGGGCGCACGCCCGTCAGCGAGCCGAAAGCGCCGCCCGCGCTGGTTCCAATCCGCGCGGAGGGCTTGCGCGCGAGGACGGCGGTAATGGCCTCAATGAGCTGTGATTGGACGAGCGGCTTGAGCGCGGGGAGGTGCGCGGAGATGTGCGCGAGCGTGTGCACGAGGGGGAGGGAGAGCCCCGTGTGCAGGCACACGGGGAGCAGCTCGCGCGCAACCTCGCGCATGTCGTCCCCCACCGCCGCCACCAGCTGCCCCACGCATGTCAGCGCCTCCACCGACGCGCGCCCGCGTCGCGGAGTGAGCGCCTCGCGGAGGAGCGCGGAGATCGCGGGGAGGTATGGGCGCAGCGCGGGCCCGACGGCGCTGGCCATCTCGCCGAGCGCCGCGAAGCCCGCGTCGCGATCGGCGGGGTTCTTCATGACGCCTAGGAGGTGGTCCATGCAGATCTTTAAATAGCTGCTCACGAAGCGGTCGCGGAGGAAATGCGCGATGCGCGGCAGCAGCGCGGTGATGGATCGGCGGATGAGGCGCTCGCGATGGTCGCGGTACTTGAGAACGATGTTCGCGACTTCCTTGTAACGCGCCATCATAAATTCGCCCGTGTTGCGAAGCATTTCGCCGATCGCGAGCAGCGAGCCGTGGATGCTCTCGACGCTCGCACTGCGCTGCAGCCCTTTCTCGGTCTCCTCGAACAGTCGATAGTAGCCCTGCACGCGCCACCGCGTCTCGCGCTTCTCGATAACGCGCAGGCACGCGCGCAGCGCCTCAACCGCGCGCTCCCGCACCGCGAGTTTCGGGTCGCGCAGTGCCGCCCAGATGACGTCGATGAATGTCGGGACGTGCACGTTAAAGACCGTCGGCGCGTTCGTCGCCATTTCTTTCAGAATAAGCACGGCCGCGTATCGCCGCGCCTCGACGCGCTCCCCCTCGAGCCACCGCAGCGCCTCCTTCACCTGAAACTCCACCACGTCAGCAGCCATCGCGCCGCCCGCGCGTGCCACGTGTCCCAACGTCGCCGCCGCCGCGGAGATCGTGTCAGCGTCTGTCTTTTCCTCAAAGATTCGCCGCAGGAACGACGCGAAACGCGACGCCTTGGCGGCGCTCTCCCCGAGCGGCACGTCGATTAACTCGTCGATCGCGTGAACGGCGCCGAGATTATCGGACGGCGAGGTACTCTCTACAAGCACGTTGATCCTTTCGTAAAGCGTGTCCATGAAACGCGTGAACGCCTCGCCGCTGAGATCGCGCGCCTCCTCCTCCACGTGCTGGCGCAGCGTCAGCGCGCCCTCCTCCTTCGCCGCGTACGGCGTGCGCGTACACAGCTCCGCCAGCAGCCGCCGCAAAATGTCCGCCGCCGCTCCCCGCTCGCCACTACCGCCCGCACCCCCCCGGCCTGATCCCCCCTGTCCCCCGCCCCCCCCTGCTCCACCCCCCCCGGACGTACCGGCATGTGCAATTGCGGCCATCACCGCGCGGCTTTCGGAACCACTAAGAACTGTTTTCGTTAGTCGCTAGACCGTACACATCGATTAGGTGACATACGCACGACCGGAAGAAGCGACGATGACGCAATAGGTCTCTAAATCGTGCACTGTACACATTACCCGTGGGCTAGTATCCTCACTCATGCTGCGCGTTGCTTGGTTGAAGAGGGGGAACTTGGGTTGCAGGCTTGGGAAACGGTTATACGCGCTGTTATACACTCTGCTGCAATCGAGAAGAGTCTGTAGAGAAATGCTAGTTTCAAAAAGAGTGTTACATTCACAAGAAGTTACCACGCGAAAGTTAGATTCCCAAACCAAAATTTCCATCAACCAGCAACGTCGACGGCAGCAACATACCCTCTCATCGCTACCGAACTCCATCTCCTAATCAACCAAGGAAGTGCCGGCCGAAGCAGCTAAGGTCGCACACGTGCTCGGTGTCCTCTCATCCTCTCGCCGATCCCCCGCTCCGCGCTGTTGCGTTTCCCCAGTCCCCCAGTAGCACTCTGTTGCTCACTCCGCAAATGCCGCTTGCTCGGTCAAGGCAGCAAATGGCGCATTTCCCTCGCGGGACCGCGATCAACGCGCATCCATCACTGCTCTTTGAATCATCAACCCATTAGTTGCGCGTCGCGTAGCTGCTACCGCCGGCAGCGCGCTTCGTAGACCATGCAGCCGGGAAAGCAGCAGTCGGCTGCGGCCCGCAGACGTGCCACGTGGCAAGTGGGGCGATTCGGCTGCAGAGGCGGCCGGTGGGTGCGGTGGGCGACGCTTCTGCTAATCCCCGTGGCATATCTTCTGACTCTCCGCATCTACCTCCGCCTGCACCCGGGCGACGCGACCAGCCACGTCAGCGGCGCGGGCCACCACATGTCGCTGCTGCATCTGCGCCTCAATCCCCGCGGAATGCGCGCGCTCATCCGCGGCCAGGCGGCGGACGTGGGCAGGGGGAACGGGACGGCGGCGGGAGCGGGTGGTAGTGGGGGAAAGGCGGCGTTGGATGCGCTGATGGCGGAAGGCGGCGCGGCGGTGAAGGGAAAGGCGGGGGGCGCAATGGGCGCTCAGAGCGCAATGGCGCAGCTGGTGGCGGGGGAGGGGGAAGGGAATCGGACTGGCGCAGGAGGAGGGGGCGGGGGGAGCGGGGGAGAGGAGTTGCGGATGTGGCGGAGAGAGTGGCTAAAGGAGGGGCGCGCGCGGCGCAGGGGAGCGGATGCCATGCGGAGGAGGGGCGAAGGGGGACAGCAATGGCGGGGATGGGGGGGATATGGCCCCGAAAATAAGGTGAGGGGGTGGGGGAGGGGGGAGGGGAGGGAAGAGCGATGAGCAAGGAAGGGAAGAAGGTAAGAGGGAGAGTCGAGGTAAGTGGGCGCGGAGGAGACGAGTGGGCAGCAGAAGCGCAGCTTTCATTGGCTGCCAATGAATGCCTGCGGAACTCAGACAGGGGGGTCATCCGCCCTTTCCCCACTCCCTCCCTCTTCCAACCCCCCCCCACCCCCCCAACCCCACCCCTGGCACCCCTCCACCCTCCCCCTCATGGCTTCCCGCACCAACTCCCCCCTCTCGCTGTGCCTTCCCCTCTCGCTGTGCCTTCCCCTCTCGCTGTGCCTTCCCCTCTCGCTGTGCCTTCCCCTCCCCCACTGGCCATCTTTTGAGGCGCCTCAAAACTCCCCCACTGGCCATCTTTTGAGGCGCCTCAAAACTCCCCCACTGGCCATCTGCCTGGTAGGCGAAGCGCGGGATCATGCCCCCCCCCTCCTTTTCTTCCCCCTTTCCCCCTCCCCACTCGTCCCTTCCCCAGCCCCCTCCACGAGTGGCCATCTGTCTGGTGGGGGGAGCGCGCGAGTTCCACCTGACGGCGCCCACGTTGCAGCGCCACCTGCTCTGCTCCTCCCCGTTGGGGCTGCTCAAGCCGTGCTCCCCCCTGGCCACATCCCTCCCTCTGCCCACACCTGCCTGCCCTCGCCCTCATTCCCGCACCCCCCCCCCGCCCCTCTCCGTCCCCAGCCCCCTCCACGAGTGGCCATCTGTCTTGTGGGGGGAGCGCGCGAGTTCCACCTGACAGCGCCCACGCTGCAGCGCCACCTGCTGCCCGCCTACCCCTCCGCGCACGTCTTCCTGCTCGCCCCTCTCGACCACTCCGCCCACCGCCTCTCCCTCCTCGCCTGGCCCCACCTCAGCGCCGCGCGCTTGGGGGAACTGGGGGGGAGCGCGGGGGGAGCGGGGGAAGGGGTGGGGGAAGGGGGTGGGTGGCGAGGTGGAGATTTTCCGGGGTACTACCTCGTGCAGGTGAGCGTGCTGCCAGACGTGCCGGTGAATGAGACAAAAATCACCGACCGGCTGCTGGAGGTGGTGGAGGGCAGCGAGGCGCAGACGCGGCAGGGGTTGATGCAGCAGTTTAAAGCCGTAGAACTCTGCGTTACCGCCATCACGCGTTACGAGAAAACCCACGCGATCCGATACGATTGGATTCTGCGGACGCGCGTGGACGGGTACTGGATGGGGCCGCCGCCGCCCCTGTCGGTGCTGGATCCGATTGCGTACACGATTCCGGGCGGCAGCGACTGGGGCGGGCTGAACGACCGGCTGGGGATGGGCGGCAGGAAGGCGAGCTGGAAGGCGCTGAGACGGCTGAGCGTGCTGCAGCCGCTGGTAGAGCGCGGAGGGTACTCGGAACTGAACGCAGAACGGGTGTATCTGGCTCAAATGGCGTTCCTGCAAGTGCAGGTGAGATGGGAATGCGGGTGGAAGGCTGTGAGGTGAGGTGAGGTGAGGTGAGGTGAGGTGAGGTGCACTGGTGGAGAGAGCAGGGGCTACAGCGAGTTGAGCGCGGAGCAGGTGTATGTGTAGGTGCAGGTGTATGTGCAGGTGCAGGTGTATGTGCAGGTGCAGGTGTATGTGCAGGTGCAGGTGTATGTGCAGGTGCAGGTGTATGTGCAGGTGCAGGTATATGTGCAGGTGCAGGTGTATGTGCAGGTGCAGGTGTATGTGGAGGTGCAGGTGTATGTGCAGGTGCAGGTGTATGTGCAGGTGCAGGTGTATGTGCAGGTGCAGGTGTATGTGCAGGTGCAGGTGTATGTGCAGGTGCAGGTGTATGTGTAGGTGCAGGTGTATGTGCAGGTGCAGGTGTATGTGCAGGTGCAGGTGTATGTGCAGGTGCAGGTGTATGTGCTGGTGCAGGTGTATGTGCAGGTGCAGGTGTATGTGCAGGTGCAGGTGTATGTGCAGGTGCAGGTGTATGTGCAGGTGCAGGTGTATGTGCAGGTGCAGGTGTATGTGCAGGTGCAGGTGTATGTGCAGGTGCAGGTGTATGTGCAGGTGCAGGTGTATGTGCAGGTGCAGGTGTATGTGTAGGTGCAGGTGTATGTGCAGGTGCAGGTGTATGTGCAGGTACAGGTGTATGTGCAGGTGCAGGTGTATGTGCAGGTGAGGGGGGAATGCATGTGGGTGGAAGGCGCTGGAAAGGCTGAGTGTGTTGCAGCCGCTGATGGAGCGCCGTGGATACAGCAAACTCAATCGGATACAGCAAACTCAATCGGACGCGGGTTTCCCTGGTCTGGTGCAAATGGCGTTCCCACAGGTGCAGGCGAGGGCAGGCTGATGCGAGTCAGTGAAGCGGGTGATTGTGCTGCAGGGGCAGCAGTGTGGTGGAGTGGGGGAAACACTCTTTAACGCTGTTGGGTGGGGCCACTCCATACTGTGGGCGCCGATGGCGCTACGCAAATCTGGGCAAGCGAAGGTGAAGGTGCGGAGTGGATGTGAGCGGGTGACATGAAACGAAGTGGTGCTGCTGCATGTGCAGCAGGGGACGTGGTGGCGGCTTGCGTACGGCCTCCTGGATCACTCTGGTTGGTGGGTAGGAGGGAGGGGAGGGGGCGGGGGGTGCATGATCAGTCGGAGATGGCGCTCCTGCAAAAAGGGGGGAAGGTGGGATAGGTGACGGGAGGGAAAGAGGGGAGAGAGGGGCGAGGGGGGGGAAATGAGGTGCGGTCGTGGCTGGTTGTGAAACAGCATGGTTGTGAAACAGCATGGTTGTGGTATGGTGGCATGGTATGCCATGCATTCTACATCCACCTCCTCACCATTACTCCTCTCAATGTCTCAATCCACCTGCCCTCACCGCACAGCACCCATGCACGTCATGTTACCACTCCCTTTTTTCGTCACTCAGCTGCTCAGAACTATCTGCCTTCAACAACCCGCCGCCCGCCCGCTACCACAACCCCCCACGTATTCTCCAATTTTCTCGTCTTTGCATTTCCCGGCCTTCACTCCTCTTATTCTCTTCATTTTTCCCCACCCCACCCCCCCCCCCAGGTAGCGCGCTACGACTTCCCCTTCTGCATCCTCAGCCGCAAGAAAGGCCTCCCAGCCTTCCCTGTCGCCGCCGCCCTCTCCTCCACCGCCGCCGCCCTCAACGGCGCCAAGTGCCGCCCCTGCCGCCCCACCGTGGTCGGCGGGCAGGCCGCAAAATACATCCTCGCGCTGCCCGAGCGAATCTTCGGCGCGCAGCCCCACGGGATCGACCTGTGCCGGGCAGAAGACGACTGGGCGGCAGACTGGCGCGAAATCTTCGATAAAGACGCGGGAGAGGTCCCCGCCGCCGCCCGGCAATACATGGAAACGCGAACCTTTGACGAGTGCGTGGACGACTGGCGCTACTTCCACCAGCAGGTCCCTGTCTGGAACGCCCCTCCCCCAGTCTCCATCTGCGTGCGCGGGCTTCTAGGGAAGTTCCACAAGATGGGGTACCCGGGGGGGGATTTCCCGGTGTTTCTGGACCCGTGGGTGGGGGCGCGGGGGGAGGCGAGGGGGAGGAAGCCGGTGGTGTATTCGGCAGTGGCCGGGGTGGACTATAGCTTTGACTGGGCGCTCATGCGCAAGCTGCGGTGCCGCGTGCACGCGTTTGATAGCACGCCTGAGGGCATGCGGTGGATCGGGGACAAGATTGACAACCTCCCGCCCGCCTCCTGGGTGCACCATGCATGGCTGCTGGCGCCGCACGACCGCCCCCTGCAGGTGAGTTAGGCGCATATGCAATGCGCATGCCTCGTGGGTGGGTGCACCATGTGTGGCTGCTGGTGCCGCATGACCGCCCCCTGCAGGTGAGTTAGGCGCATATGCAATGCGCATGCCTCGTGGGTGGGTGCACCATGTGTGGCAGCTGGTGCCGCATGACCGCCCCCTGCAGGTGAGTTAGGCGCATATGCAATGCGCATACCTCGTGGGTGGGTACACCATTTGTGGCTTCTGGCGCCGCTTGACCCCCCCCTGCAGGTAGCTTGCTTTGCGCAGTGCGCATGTGTGCGTGTGGGTGGAGTCAGGAGTGACCTCAAGAGAGTGTATGGGCATGGGTTGGTGGCACGAGTCAAGGCTGCCACGCCTGTGCCTGCTGTTGTGCGGCATGGGGCCTGACAGAGTGCGACAGCGGCGGCTGTAGCCTGTAACCCCATGGTTGTTCCCTTTGCCATCACCATGCGTCCATCTCACCTCACCATGCGTGCCTGCATGTCGCCCCATCACCATCCGTGCCTGCATGGCGCCCCATCACCATTGTTCATGGTCCCCATCACCATTGTTCATGGTCCCCATCACCATTGTTCATGGTCCCCATCACCATTGTTCATGGTCCCCATCACCATTGTTCATGGTCCCCATCACCATTGTTCATGGTCCCCATCACCATTGTTCATGGTCCCCATCACCATTGTTCATGGTCCCCATCACCATTGTTCATGGTCCCCATCACCATTGTTCATGGTCCCCATCACCATTGTTCATGGTCCCCATCACCATTGTTCATGGTCCCCATCACCATTGTTCATGGTCCCCATCACCATTGTTCATGGTCCCCATCACCATTGTTCATGGTCCCCATCACCATTGTTCATGGTCCCCATCACCATTGTTCATGGTCCCCATCACCATTGTTCATGGTCCCCATCACCATTGTTCATGGTCCCCATCACCATTGTTCATGGTCCCCATCACCATTGTTCATGGTCCCCATCACCATTGTTCATGGTCCCCATCACCATTGTTCATGGTCCCCATCACCATTGTTCATGGTCCCCATCGCCATTGTTCATGGTCCCCATCGCCATTGTTCATGGTCCCCATCACCATTGTTCATGGTCCCCATCGCCATTGTTCATGGTCCCCATCACCATTGTTCATGGTCCCCATCACCATTGTTCATGGTCCCCATCACCATTGTTCATGGTCCCCATCACCATTGTTCATGGTCCCCATCACCATTGTTCATGGTCCCCATCACCATTGTTCATGGTCCCCATCGCCATTGTTCATGGTCCCCATCACCATTGTTCATGGTCCCCATCACCATTGTTCATGGTCCCCATCGCCATTGTTCATGGTCCCCATCACCATTGTTCATGGTCCCCATCACCATTGTTCATGGTCCCCATCACCATTGTTCATGGTCCCCATCACCATTGTTCATGGTCCCCATCACCATTGTTCATGGTCCCCATCACCATTGTTCATGGTCCCCATCGCCATTGTTCATGGTCCCCATCACCATTGTTCATGGTCCCCATCACCATTGTTCATGGTCCCCATCACCATTGTTCATGGTCCCCATCACCATTGTTCATGGTCCCCATCACCATTGTTCATGGTCCCCATCACCATTGTTCATGGTCCCCATCACCATTGTTCATGGTCCCCATCACCATTGTTCATGGTCCCCATCACCATTGTTCATGGTCCCCATCACCATTGTTCATGGTCCCCATCACCATTGTTCATGGTCCCCATCACCATTGTTCATGGTCCCCATCACCATTGTTCATGGTCCCCATCACCATTGTTCATGGTCCCCATCACCATTGTTCATGGTCCCCATCACCATTGTTCATGGTCCCCATCACCATTGTTCATGGTCCCCATCACCATTGTTCATGGTCCCCATCACCATTGTTCATGGTCCCCATCACCATTGTTCATGGTCCCCATCACCATTGTTCATGGTCCCCATCACCATTGTTCATGGTCCCCATCACCATTGTTCATGGTCCCCATCACCATTGTTCATGGTCCCCATCACCATTGTTCATGGTCCCCATCACCATTGTTCATGGTCCCCATCACCATTGTTCATGGTCCCCATCACCATTGTTCATGGTCCCCATCGCCATTGTTCATGGTCCCCATCGCCATTGTTCATGGTCCCCATCACCATTGTTCATGGTCCCCATCACCATTGTTCATGGTCCCCATCACCATTGTTCATGGTCCCCATCACCATTGTTCATGGTCCCCATCACCATTGTTCATGGTCCCCATCACCATTGTTCATGGTCCCCATCACCATTGTTCATGGTCCCCATCGCCATTGTTCATGGTCCCCATCACCATTGTTCATGGTCCCCATCACCATTGTTCATGGTCCCCATCGCCATTGTTCATGGTCCCCATCACCATTGTTCATGGTCCCCATCACCATTGTTCATGGTCCCCATCACCATTGTTCATGGTCCCCATCACCATTGTTCATGGTCCCCATCACCATTGTTCATGGTCCCCATCACCATTGTTCATGGTCCCCATCGCCATTGTTCATGGTCCCCATCACCATTGTTCATGGTCCCCATCACCATTGTTCATGGTCCCCATCACCATTGTTCATGGTCCCCATCACCATTGTTCATGGTCCCCATCACCATTGTTCATGGTCCCCATCACCATTGTTCATGGTCCCCATCACCATTGTTCATGGTCCCCATCACCATTGTTCATGGTCCCCATCACCATTGTTCATGGTCCCCATCACCATTGTTCATGGTCCCTCCCTCCCCCACAACCCCCCTTCTCCCCGTGTCCTCCACCAGGTGAACCTAGTAGACAATGAGAGCACACCTTTCACAGCTAAACACCATCCCTCGCCCTCTCCCCCTCACTCACAACTCTCCACCCCCAGGGGTACCCGATAGAATACGACGCATGGCACAGCCCCACGCGGACACCTTGTGAGGCAAACCAGCCCCCGTCTCCCCCCACGCCACCCCCTGTAGAATACGCCGTGGCCATGCCGCCCGGCATGGACACCATGCGAATCCCCTGCCCGTTTCCCCTCCCCTCCCGTCATCCACCCCCAGGTGCACCCGCTGCACATCCAGGTGAGGAGCACCCAGTAGAATACGCCGTGACCCGTGACCCCGCCTCCCCACGTGGCAATTCCTGAGTCAATACATCTCCTCCCCCCTCCTCCGGCCCCCCGTCTGTTACCAGGTGTACCCGCTAGACATCGAGGAGCACTCTGTAGAGTATGCCGTGGCCCCGCCGCCTTGCATGGACACCTTTTCGGTCAGAAAGACCCCCCCACTCCAGCCCTTCTTCCTGCCGTCCACCCCCAGGTGTACCCACTAGACATCGAGGAGCACCCTGTAGAATACGCCGTGACCCCGCCGCCCGGCATGGACGGCTTGTCGCTGCCGCCGCCCATCCAGGTGGAGGCGATGACGGTGGAAGGCACCATGAAGCTTCTCAACCACTCAATCGTGGACATCTTGAGGATCGGTGGCCACGTGTCTCTGCATGAAGCAATCTTTATGGCGTGGACTCACGCCAAGCGCGCCCCGCCCGTCTGCCAGGTGTGTACTGGGGTGGGGACTTTTGAGGCGCCTCCAAGGTGTCGCTGCATGAAGCGATCTTCAAGGCGTGGAGTCACCAGGTGAGCATGTGGGGAAGGAAGGTCGGGGGGGAACGGGGGAAAGTGGGGAATTACGAGGAGCCTCAAAGGTTGTTGCTGCCCGTCTGCCAGGTGAGGGGGGGAGGGTGGGGGGAGGAGAGGGACTGTGATTGACTCTCGTTTCCACTTGTTCCTGCACCTTGGTTCCCGTTGCCTTTTTCTCTGACATCATCAGCCCTTGCTAGCCTTCCCCATTACAACCATGAGTCATCATCCCGTTGCCTCGTTCAGGTCATTGTCTCGTTCCACCACGGTGACAAGCACTATGGGAGCACGGAGACACAGCAAGAACTACTGGCCTTGCGCTCGTTAGGGCTTGAGCTTGGTGTGTGTATACGAAAGGATAACCTGTATGAGAGTTGTGTGCTGTACTCGGTACACCATTGCAAGTACGATATTACATAATGCAATGATGCGTTACCCTTTTGTCATATTCAGTAAAAGAGAATGAACCAGGGGAGCCTTGAGCAAATTCAAGTCATCTCCGTTTGCTTTATGCAGAGAAATGAGATGAAAAAATGCCATGGTATGTTTCATGCAGGACGCTAGTCATTGATGGATCATAGAAGTATATGGTTAGTTTTGTTCTTATGATGGAAAAATGGAAGACTCTGTGCTATCAGGTGTATCCGAGTAGTGTAGCTTCTAGACACCATAGCTGCTCCAATTTCGGATGGTGCACACATGCTTCAGGGCCGGTCAAACTGGGTTTGTGGAAAGACACGTTTCGTACAAGAATTCCCAAAGTTTTTCAGGGAAACCCGAAAGATATCTCAGAAGCAGGCTGACCATACTCCTAACTGGCTAAGTTTTAGTCTAGACGAATGCGCGAGAAGCTGTTTGCTCACACCTGTGGAGAGAGACAGTTGGTAAATCTGTATAAACATTTTGCTACTAGTTTTCAGGTGCCACCATTTGTTCACCTTGCTCTGTACAGTACTCGGAACCCCCTCACCGAGCCGCAGCTTGACCCTTTGGACTCGCGCGACGCGTGATTTCACGGATTCAACGAGGACGTGAGGCTTGTTCCTGCGCAGTGCACGCACCGCGCCACGGCCTGGTACACCTCCACATCCCCATTCAAGGCGCTCCATCCCATCCCTGATTGGTTCGTTGATTACTTCGACTGCCGCTTGCCCCTCGCTCGCATCGCTGTCCAATCAGAGGCCCCGTTCTCAGTCTCCATTTCGCCCCGTAGCTAGGCCTGTACTAACATGCCCCACATCGCCCTTCCAGCCATACAAAGCCCCTCACCTCACTCCAGAGAAGCAGCCTCTTCCAAACTAGCGATATACTGTAGTGTGTTTCCAACACAATACTCGATACTTGATATCTTGATTGACTAGGACCACGCAACACTCCGCTTTCTAGTTGCCCCGAACCTCTCTCATCTCGCACAATGGCCGTGGCAACGCAGATGCCGCCCTACGACATGGGGTGCGACGGCGCTCCTCTACGCAAGGCCTTCAGCACTCCCAAGCCCAACCGCGTCGCCCGTTCACCGAGTCCCGTCCCCCAGAAGTCGGTGCTGCAGGCGCAAGCGCGGCCGGCTCAGCCACAGCAACCCGTGCTGCAGTCGCAAGGGTCCTTCGGTCGACAGCAGCAGCCGCCGCTCTACGTTCCCCTCCAGCAGTCCGGTGCCGCCGCACCATACAAAGTCGATGGTATGGCTGAGTTGACCGCTGCTGCCTCCGCTCCTCCCGCCGTCGCTCCCGGCGGCCTTCCGTCACCAAAGTCGGTGTTCGCTAATCACCCCGGCTCGCCGCAGCGCAACGTGGTCGAAAGTCTCTTCAAGCCGGTTGCACCCGCCGCAGAACTCGCCCGGCCCGGTTCTCCTGGCGAAGCCACAACCACACAACCCAAGCCGTTTGGGGGAAACTCGCTGTTCAAAGCGGCGGAGGTGGGCAACATGGTGATGCAGCAGCAGACGGCGATGCAGGTGGCGCAGATGACGCAGCAAATGAACCACATGCTGGCGGAGCTCACCGCGCTCCGCTCAACCGTGGCGGAGCTGCAGGTGCAGGTGCAGTGCGCCAAGGCGCAGGCACAGTCGCAGGCGGTGGCGCAGAGCGAGGCGCGCGGAGCGCTGAAGGAGAGCGCGCAGCAGGTGAAGGACGCGCTGCAGGAGGGGCTGCTGGACGTCAAGGAGCTCATCTCCTTCAAGTGAGTTTACGAGCTCTTGTCGGTTTTTATTAAGGCGTCTCAGAAAACTTTTCTTCACGAGGACGTCAAGTCCTAACGTCCAAACAAAAGCCTCTTTGTTATCTTCCAGTACGCGGGATCGCGGAATTGTGAAGCCCGAGGAGCGTGGGCCTAACGAAGCTGCTCTCCTCTCTCATCACGTTTCCCCCGCCCCTTCCCCGCATCTCTTGCTCCGCCGTCTTGGCAGGGACGCGCAGCAGAAGGCGCGGCTGTTCAACTCGTTCAGCACGCGCGACCGCGACCCTATGGAGCGGGTGCCCAACGACGCCGGCGAGCTGCCGGTTAGGTTCCCGGCTACCCGGAAGGAGCTGACTGCCATGTCGCTGGACACGATGCAGTACCTCTTCGAGTTCTACCAGCTGCCGAAGGAGCCGCAGGATACGCTGTAAGTCGCGCCTTAACTCGTTAAGAGCCGATCACATATATCCGATCACGCACGCCAATGTGCTTCACAAATAATTGGCCTGGGCACGATGAACAATTTTGCTGGGTCTTTGACGTCCCAGGCAGCCTTGGGATACGTGGTAAGTAGCGTCTAACCCCGCGCCTTCGCGGTAGGCTAACCCGGCGGCGGGCGTAGATATCTCGTCTACGCTGCCCGCGCCCTTGGTCACTCGCACTGCTGCCTTGCGACAGCACTAACCCGCCTCTTGCGTTCCTCGTGCTTTTTTCCTCCCATTGCTTCCCCCTCTCCCCTCCCGCTCTTCCCCGTTCAGCTACGACCGTTTGATGAAGCACATCGGCGTGCGTGTGTAGCTGCCAGTGCGCGAGGCTAGAATGACCAAGCAAAGCAACAGGCATAAACGACCGCTCTAAAAACAGACTCGAAATACATTGCGGAAAGGTTTGGGTGGCAAATCCTCGCCCAAGAGGTGCACGCCACAAGGCAGTGGTTATACCAGACGCTAAGCTAGTCAGCTCCATTGTTAAACAGTTGCAGACAGGGTTTAGGATGTTCAGGACAGGCAATGGTGTATATGTACGATTTAAAATTTATTGCGAGTAAGAAAACATACTGCTAAGACATGGCAAATTACTGTTGTCAATCATGCCTGCTGCCCCTGCTGCTGTGCCTGCAGCGGCAGCAAGATGGGCAGCTTGGGGGTCCGCTCTGGCAGCACCACCCCCTGTGCCAGCCCTTGCTGCTGCGACCCTGCAGGCGAGGCCGCATACATGCCCTGCTGCCCCTGCTGTTGCCCCTGCCCCTGCTGCTGCCCCCCTGCCTGCTGCCCCTGGTGGTGCTGCTGCTGCAGCGCGTGCAGCTGGGAGGGGAGCAGCATGGCAGGCAGGGGCGAGGAGAGTGGCTGCTGGGAGAGAGACGACATGCCTGATCCCACTGCCACTCCTGCAGGCGATGGCGTCACTGCTGCTGCCATTCCTGCTGCTGCTGCTACCCCCTCCTTGTCGTGCAGTGCTGTTATTAGTGCCGGCTGCAGCAGCAGCTGCTGTGGCAATGAGCATGAGAAGGGGAAACACACACGGCAGGATAAGAACAGGAAACACAAGATTTACAAGGTCAACTTTTCGAATAGATCAATTCAACTTGCATGTTGGGCAGGCAGCTCAAGTTGCCTGGCACATGTTCAAATGCCCCCACAAATGCTCGCCCCACACGCCTGCCCCTTGGTATGTGGGATGTAAGCCCCCCACCCAGCTGTTCCCCAAACCTCACCTGCAGCTCCCTCTGTCTCGCAGCAAGAGTCTCCTGTGCCTCTTGCACCCTCGCCACCGCTGCTAACGCCTGCATGAGCACAGTGAGAGGGAGGACAGTGAGGTGGCTGCTGATGAGTCGACTCACAAGTCACCCTCGCCATGGCTGCTAACGCCCGCATGCACAGTGGGACGAAGGGCAGTAATGTGCTGAACACACAGGTTGCAAGTGCACTGCGCAGACCAGTACAGGATCAGCAACAGTATCTGCGCTTCCTGTACAACATTGCAATGAAGCACAGATAGACAGCGTACGCCTTCACCCCTTTCCCCACTCCTCCCTCCCCCCCTCTCTACGTCCCTCTTACTGCCCTCCCACCTTGCTCTGCACAGCAATCCTTCCTATCCCCTGCTGCCACCACATCCTTTTCCCTTCCTCCCACTTTTCCCTTCTTCCATCCTTCTCCTTCCCGTCTCTCCCTTTCTCTCTCACCCTATTTCTCCCTCCTTCCTCCTCTCCCTCACTTCCTATCACCACCCTCTCACTACACTCTCAAGACCCTCCCTCCTCCTGTATTGTCCTCGCACCATGCCATGGAAGACAATCCTCTCCCCTGCTGCCACCAGCCTCTTCCATTCCCTTTCTTCCTCTCTCCCTTCCTCCATCTCCCCCTCTCTCTGCTCCCCTCTTTCCACCTCTCCTTTCTTCCCTCTCTCTGCCTCTCCCTCTTGCACCCTCTCTCTGCCAACTCACTACCCCTCACCGCCCTCCGCCCTTCCATCTCACGGTGCGCCCACCTTGCTGTGCAGAGCCATCTTCTCCTCGTAGCCAGCACCCACCTGCCCTCGTCTCCCTCTCCCTGATCTGAACCCCTGCCCCTGTCCCCCCTCTCTCACGCAACTCCTACTCTGTTCTCAAATCGCGCCCACCTTGCTGTGCAGCGCCAGCTTCTCCTCGTACCCAGCAGCCACCTGCTTCTTGGCCGCTTCCAGCACCTGTTCACGGTGGCGGTGTGCGGACCATATTCCGAGCATCACGAGTGGTGGCGTGGTGGGAATGGTGGGAGAGAAGGGAGTCACGTAAGTGCTGATAATGGTGCGAAGTTCAGGAGTGGTGGGAGCGGTGGGAGTGTACAGGAGACCTGCAGGGTTCAGGGTCTGATGATGCATGTGCTCCATGCAACATGCGATACACGCGCTGTATGTGATTAATGCGATGCATGTGATGCATGGGATGTATGTGATGCATGGGATGCATGCATGCGATGCATGGGATGCATGCATGGGATGCATGCATGCGATGCACGTGATGCATGCGATGCACGTGATGCATGCGATGCACGTGATGCATGCGATGCATGTGATGCAACCCAAAATCTAGCTCTACCGACTGGGGATGTCAAACGTATGGCACAAGGATGCCACAAGAATGCAAAAATGATGCCACATGGATGCACCCAGCTTCTGGCTCTTCCCACATTCCCCTTGCTTCTCCCTTTCCCGCCCACTTCACATTCCCCTTGCTTCTCCCTTTCCCGCAACGCAACCTTCACGTTCCCCCTCGCACCCGATCTTGCCTCTCCCTGTCTCACCCCACCGTGCTGTTCCCCTTGCCAGCACACGCACCTTGATTCTCTCCTTGAGCCTCACTTCCGTGGCCGTTGCCCTCTGTAGCGCCTGCTCCAGCTGCTGCATCTGCATCACACACGCACAAGTGCACACACACGCACACATGCATACACGCACGCATGCACGCATCCGGCCATAGAGGGTTGGTTCATGAACACAGCCAGACTGCAACGAGACACGCAAATATAGCAGCAGCAGAGTAGGGTTATTTACGCCCTCTCCCCTTCCTCCCACCTGCGCTGCCACACTCCACTCTCCCCCGGCTTGCGCACCCCCAACACATACGCACACACTTGCACACACGCACGCACCATGCGCACGCACACGCATACACGTATGCAGACACACATAGCATACATGCATGCGCACACACATACATGCATGCGCACATGCATACACACACACACACACACTCATGCACACGCATACTCGCATGCACGCGCATGCCCCCACACCCACCATCCCTCACCTGTGCAGCCACGCTCTGCTTCTCCCGCCTTGCTCGCTCCACTGCCGCCCGCAGAGCATCCAGCGACTCGCCCCCCTGCCCCCCCTGACCCCCTTGACCCCCTTGACCCGCTTGACTTGCTTGACCCCGCACCACCCTTCCCCCCTCTCCCCCTGCACCCTCCCTTGCTTGCCCGTGGGGAGCCTGGCGCAGCTGGTGGGACGGCAGGCATGGGATGGCATGGAAGATATACGGGCAATGGAAAATGGCAGGCATGAGAATCTCCAGAGGAGACGCATATGCACATGCTGTACAGTGGAAAGAGAAGCAAAGACAGGAAGAGGAGAGAGAGACATGGCACGTGCGGTAGAAAAACATGATCCAGGAAGGGGGATGTTGCCATGTGTCCAAACACCATGGGCCTATGACGCACCGCCACGTGTCCAGATGCCTCGGGCGGCAGGCGCTCGTCCTCATCATACTCCCCCTCCCCCCGCCCCCGCCCCATCTCATCCTCCCCTCCCCTCCGCCCCCTCCCACCTCCCCCTCCCCCCGGCCCTCCCCCATTGCTGCGGCCAGCAGGGGGGTGGTCGGGGGAAGCATAGGGGCTTCCCCCTCGGGGGCTGCGACTGCGGTCTGCCAGGCAAAGGGGGAGAGGTGCGGGAGAAGGAAGGGGGATGGGCGGAGGGGGAGAGCGAAGGGGAGCGGAGGATGTGCGGGAATAAGGCTGAGAACGGAAGGGTCTTCCAAGGGGGAGGGGAGATGACAGGAAGAATGCAAGGAAACAGGAGCGAGGAGATGAGGAAGATGGGATGAAGGCGAGAGAATGGAGAGAGGGAGGTGTGTGTGAGTTGCTGTGGGAATGCATGTGAGTTATCCTCGTAGGGGGAGAAACTGTCTGGAGAGATCAAGGGTGGCATGACGACAGGGCAGGGCGGTAGGGCACGGGAGAGCTGCGGGCGAAGGAGTGGGGAGGGTGAATGAAGAAGGCGAGGGAGTGAGGAGAGCGAGGGAGTGAAGAGAGCGAGGGAGTGGAGAGAGCAAGGGAGTGAAGAGGGCGAGGGAGTGACAAGAGTGAGGGAGTGAAGAGAGTGAGGGAGTGAAGAGAGTGAGGGGAGAGAGAGGCTTACAGCGGACGCGGGACGGTGGGGAGCGGGAGCGGCGAGGTGGGGACATGGAGGGGCGGCGAGCAACACCACTGCAGAGAAGAGCCACGGGGGGAGGAAAGGCTCGGGAGGGATACTTATGAGCAGTTTTTTGTCACAATCAGGTGGGCGTTTCGTGAATCATGCAGTATTTTCGCATGCCTGCCTAGACAGTGCAACATGGTACCTTTCTTGATTGGCTGACCCTGCGGTTCGTTTGTGCAACGGTCACATGCTCGACCCCGAGTTCAACAAACTTTTGTTTCGTGCTACAGCACTAATATAGGGTACACTCGCACGCGTTTTTATCGCATTTGTAGGGTTACCCACCTCGGGCTCCAACACTTGGACCCCGCTTGCATATGATGCACCACGCCCTAACCGCTACACACAGAAGTGTAAGTATCCATACAGAGTCTGCCTAGGAGTAACTGCGAACGAACCCAGGAGTTCAAGAACAGGCTCACCCTCGGGGCCGTTCGCGGTCTCGCTCGAAGGAGGACTGGCGGAAGAACCCCCCGTCTCCCCGCCTGCGCACCTCCGACACCTTGATTGGCCTCCCGTCCACTATCTGGTCGTTGACCGTGCACTCACTCGCTCACACGCACACATGGACGTACATGCATGCGCACATACACGTGCGAGCACAGGCATACATGCACATGCACACACGCACAGGCAGACACAGGCAAGCATGCGGCAACAGAGAGGCATCCAGAAACACTAACACACCGATCCACGCAGGGGTACATGCAAACAAGACAAGACACACAGAAGAACACTGCGTCAGGACACACAGAGGGGAAGACAAATAATATACAGAATATTGTTCCATTAGAATCTGTGGCTTCGTGAATCTCCAAGGACGACCTTAGCTTCTGATATGCCTCTATCGAGCCCTTGAAGCCCGCCTCACCACGCCCTTATAGCCTCGGCCTTAAAGCCTCGCCCTTAAAGCCCGCCTCACCTTGACCTTAGCCCGCCTCACCTCGCCCTTAAAGCCCGCCTCACCTTGACCTTAGCCCGCCTCACCTCGCCCTTAAAGCCCGCCTCACCTCGCCGTCCATGGCCTTGATGGCGTCCTGAGCTGCCTTGGGCGATGCGAAGGTGACGAAGCCGAACCCCCTCGCCTTGCCCGTCTCCCTGTCGTATATCACCTGCGAGACACGGGCGACAGGCAACACGCAGGCAGGGACAAGCAGCACGGACGGAGAGCGATGTGTGACGATTATGAAGGAATTTCGAGCCTTGTCTGTCTCCCTGACGTGGATCACCTGCATACTACAGCAACAGGCAACACGCAGGCCGCAGCAAGCGGTAAGCCGCACGGACGGGGCGAGCAGACGAGGAGAGCCAAGGGATGATGTGACGACTACGACGATGAATCCGAAGCTCCCGCCTTGTCAGTGTCGCCTCCACGCAGCAAATGGTTCAGGGAGCGGCGTGCTTACACTCGAGGAGGCACTCGCGAAATCGATCTAAAGCTCGACGAAGGTCGACCTTCGCGAAATGGCCGGGGAGAGGCGAGCAGCTAGTAACCGCGACACCGAAGCTACAGTTGCGGTGGAGTCACCGTTACCGTTACCGTACGGACGAAATTTCCTTGGCGATAAAGTTACCTTCGCGGAAAGGACTTCGCCGAACTCTTCGAAGACCTTCTTGATGGCCCCCTCGTCGCTGTCGAACGGCAGCCCGCCCAGATACACCGTGTGCCCCTCCTCCGACGCCATGCTGCCGTCGCACGCGTCGTAACCGTCGTACTCGTCGCACTCGTCGCCGGACTCACCGGGACAAGGAAATTAAAAAAACGGAAGGGGAGAGGCACGCTATGAAACTGGATCGAAAAGACACAGAAACTCAGAGGGAGGGTGGTGAGGGAGGGACGCGGAACCCGAGAGTGGAGGGGGTCGTGGGGGTGGCGAGGAGATCTCGAGGTGGTGCTGCGTGTGATGGGTGGTGGGGCGCGATTAGGAGAGCTCAAGGCTTTACAGGTATCGCGCGACTCGCGCACTTCAGGGGACCTTCACCGGGATTTCAAGGTCGTCCTCGTGAGAATCCACGTTCGATATTGACGACCTCACAAAAAAAAAGTGACCATGACCAAATGTAAGGAATTTTCTCGGCATTCCTTACGGAGCCCGACTACATCGCGTACAGCAACAGCCGTTGTTCGCCCGTTACTGCTAACGGGACTTCGCCAACTTCGCGCGCACTGTTTTGCCAAACCTCGCACTGCTGGCCCGGCCGTGTCGGCCTACGCTTCGGGACTAGCCCGAGCCTCGCTGCCAGCGTAGCACTAGCTAGCTCGCACGCACCGCATTACCGTTTGCATGTTCGCATATAAATGTTCGCTCATGCCTTAGCTCACATCTTGGTACTCGTTTGACACCTTAGTGCAATCCTCGCTACTTCGATTCATTGCACCCGTAACACTTGGTATTCAGAGCCCCTTTCTTTCAAACCGCGCATCTCCGCACCCTATGAAATCAACTTTTGATTTTTCACTCGAAGGGACTCACGTGTTGGGCTGAAAAATAGCCCTTAGGATCTTTGCAGAGGAGAACTCTTGGGTAGAAACTTGTAATAGCGGAAGCGTTTAATGAGGATTGTGAACCGACCTTGCACTGGTGTGTGAGAGCAAA